TACTAAAATAYTACTTGTATTTATGAACATTTTCATCTGATATTTATTCTTTCTTTCTCCACATTTCCTTGTACCCATGATAAAATGTGTAATCTGTATGTATAAAACTGTACCATTCATCTTTGTATTTCTTTATTTTGCTCTTTGTTGTGTCTGTCTCTAACAGGCTCATCTCATCTCTGTATCTTCCTCATCTCCTATCCTTTGGGTTCTGTAAACTCCCYGAAGGTTCAGAGGTAGTATAAATACCTATTCTTGCTTGGGCTTCRGATCATTTCAAATGTACACCCATGTCTTCATCTCAATTTCTTGTCAGCATGCAACTTCTTGCTATAGTGATTAAGAAAATACCTTGGGCCTTTGTCAGCAGCTGTGGCATACTTAAGAGAAGTTTGGGTGGATTCTGTTGTTTTTCTGGGGGGACAGTGCCATTTCTTTATAAATTCATTTTCTTACATCAATTTATAAAACTGCAAATCACAGCATTTTAGTTTATRCTGCATGACTTCATGTGAATTGTGCTTGAGATATTCAGGCCTAGCWTTAGAAAATCAGCTAAGTGGCTCCTTCCTCATCCTCTGAAATTGCATATCATTAGTGAGCACCAAAGCTCCTTGTAGCTACAGAGGTACAACGGGACTGACATGGTTCCCCACCAATTAAAAATGTTTTTGATCAAGAGGCCTAAAGGCACACACACAATTCACCCTGCAGAGATGCTGTCACTGCTCTCTTATATTACAATTTTATAATATACTTAAGAAAACTTACTGTTTTTCAATCTTTGGGTTTTGATCTGGGCAGTGTTATCTAYTTAGATTTGCAAAATTTGTGACTAGTAGCAGTGAAAAGACTGAAAATTAAAAAAGTTTGGAAATCAGGATTTTTTTTTTTTTTTTATTAATGGGAAGAAATATGTATGGTTTAGAAAAAKAACCAACTTCTTTTCTGGTTTAGTTTCCTTTGATGTGTTGGTTGCATCCAGTTTGTTTCCATTAACTGTGATTTGTGTCTGCCTACATTGTTCTATGTTTTAGTCATTGATGTTCTAGAGGCATCTTGGATTTTGATTAATAACCACAATGCACATAGTTAGATGTCTTGAGTTTTACATTTTAGGGAGGAAGAATATGTTACATGTGACACTAATTTACTGAGATTAATTTTTTTTTACAATTTGCCAGGACTAGCTGTCTCAAAAATGCAAAACTGTATCTTCAAATGCAAACTTCTATTACTGTAACAAATGTGGACCTTATTTTGATTTATTAGTGGCTTGGCTTTGCATGAAAGAATATTTTTTTTTTGTGAATTCTTGCTCTTTTCAAAGCTCTGGCAATTTCACATTAACTGAGTAAGACATTTACTCTTTATATATACATGAWTGTTTTAAAATATAGTGTTTAAAATTGTGCTGATATTGGCTTTTTATTACAAAGAAACCTRTTACACTGATTTTATCATGATTTCATCTGTTATGTATTAAGTTCCTTTGTTTATACCCTGGATATTTCAATTATCGCACATTTTGCATTTGATACATAAAAATGTCTGAATGGCTCTGAATTCTCAAAGAATACAGCTCTTCATGTGCTTTATGTATATGGACTGCAGGATAAATTGAGACTTCAGATTGATAATGACTCTAAAGTATTAAAGTGCACTTTTGAAAAATAGAATATTCTATTCACCCCATGCAATGTGTAAATAACCATTTTGCTTGGGAGGGCTGRGATGGAACTGGTGAGGAGAGGGCAGGGGAGAGTGGAATGGTGAGGCTGTTGCTGCCCTTATTCCCCCTTATAGGATTCTTCAGCATTCTTACCAGCCAAAACCCCACATTTTGAGCTCAAAGAAAGGAGGTACTAAACCACAACAAACGTTTAAAAGCTGGCTAGAGTTTGGGGTTACTTTGTTGTTTTTTTGGTTTGGTTTTTTTTTTTTTTTTTGAGGAGAGATTACCTGTTGTCTCTACCTTGTATCTTTGCTTGTTATTCAATACAGTGAAAAACCCAAACTTGTTGTTCCGTGGTCCAGAAAGCTGTCTTTAGTTGTAGAGCTATTTAAACATGTCTTTCTGCCTCAAGGTAAAACTTGTGTTCTTTCAGATTACTCCAGCATATGGGTAAATCAAAGTTTGAGGTCTTCTGTTGGCACAGAAAAAGAACATATGCTATTCTTATAAACTTCACACACTTACTGGTAGTGGCTTTTATTTCCTTATGCGTATATCTTTACATATTTTTCTCCTAAAAGAAAAGTGGACACAATGTTTAAAAGTCCTCTGGACTGTTATGCTAATTGCTTTTGACACCTCCAGTTAKGGTGTTAAAATTTCAGTATTTAAAACAAGTGGCCCAAGCTTTGACTCCTTTGTTGGTCAGTATTTTTTCTCTGGCAGACAACTCTGTTCTCATTTTCTCAAATTTTTGGGTCCAGAAAAAAAGTGTAAATGCCTAATTAGCAACAGAAAGATAATGAACGACCATTTCTTCTTTACAGTTMCTTTCCTGTAACATCTTTGTAATGTAATGTGTATATTAGTATGAGTAATTATTACAACTATTTCCCTGTTCATATATCCTAGGTTACAGACAAGTAAAGGCAAGAAGTTAAGAGTCAGCAGGTTTTATATCACTAGATTTGAAGTTTTTTGGGAATAAGTTAAGACACAAACTTTCCCTGAGCATTCTATACCTTCTCTATTTGAATAAATGGAAGGGTTTTTTTTGTCACATATTGTTTTATTAAATAATAAATGCACTGTATTATTTTATTAAAATCTCCAAAATAGAATAGAAATAAAACTTGTATAGTTTTTATATGAATTTTTWAAAATAGCAATAATACTACAGGACGGTTCCTGCAAAAATAATTCAAGTACTGCTAAATAAGCAATACAGAAAAATTATTGCAATATGAAGTAGTGCATTGGAATACATAGTGCAGAGATGATGATGTAACAATGATGGAACTCTGTTTTTCTTTCATTTCTAATTAAAACAGACAAATTGAATGATTGTTTATAAATACCTTGCATATGTAATAATTTCTGGGTTCTGTTTTGCAAAAGTAGTCTCCTGTGACATTTGGAAATTAATAGCCTCTTTTTTTATGAATTCCTTTAATCTACATTAATATGTGGCTTTCTAAAATCAATCCTTTATTTTTGCCATATGTAAATTCTAATCCTGACTTTATTCTACTTGCATAGATTAACATGCTTGTCATGTCTATTTGCCATTCTCTGTTTATTTCACTGTAGAGCTGRACAAGAGCCCTGATTTCTATTCTTATTTTGATGTTCTTGTCCTGAATCGGAGAGAAAAATRGAAATACTTGCAGTTTAAAGATGGATCCATCTAATAATAAGATTTCTAGCAATATATTTTTTAACATTCTGTTACTGTACTACGTAATCAAAGTGCAGTGTCTCGGTCTGTGCTGCCAGGATGCAGTGCAAGAGTCTAAAACCTGGTTTGTGTCATGGGAGATTTGTCTAGTGGAAAATGAGATGTTGATTTTCATGAGAACCAGCGTTTTCCTTGAGGAAGTGTTTSAACTGGGAATTCATGACCAGACTTAGGGATGCTGTGCTGTGCTCAGCTGTGACAGAAATTGGATACTTCAGCGTTTTGGCAGTGGGTGAGGTACTCTTGCAAGTCTCTGGTCCTGTTGAGCCTGGCTCCTGCTAAGTGCTGTGTCCTGGCTGTGGCTGGGGATGTCCCTGCWCTGCCAGTGTGAGTCCCAGCAGCGCTGTGGCTTTTGGAATTGCCCAGACAATGTGCCTAGCTTAGGACTTCCTGACTGTCTTCATCTTCAAGTATCATGAGCATATGGTCTTTGTTACTGTGCAAGTTTAGGTTGATTTTCACCAGAACCAATGTTTTCACATCATCATTTCTCAGTCATATGAGAGACTTTATTCGCTATGGAAACAAATATATGCTGGGCACGAGATGCTGACTCTGGGCCAGTTGGACTGTGTAGTTATTCCTGGGTATGTGTTAGGGCAGTAAGAGATAGTTGGCTCGTGTATTTGGTACTTTCTCTTGTACTCTATTGTGGTGTTCAGAGCTGTGAGTGGCTTCTGACATGCTGGAGAGGGAGAAAGGGCCTGTGTCCCTGTGGGGTTTGTGTGCTGCCCCTGTTGCCAGCCCCACACCCTCAGGGTGCACAGTGGGCTCTGGCTGTGCGCAGGGGCAATGTTTGCATTAACTGAAAATATGCTTTTTATGACATATACTTGTTACTTAGCTCTGTTTTTCTTTTTGAGCTTTTGTTGGCAGAATTTTGTTGTTTGAAAGGCTTGCTCTTTGTTTCCACAAGACTGAGGTGTGTTTAAACACTTCTTCTCATCTTGAGATATTTTTAAAACTTCCTTAAAATATTTTACTCAGTCCTCACTGGAATATTTTGAAAATGTGTTTGCTGAAACATTCRTTTTATACATGTCCATAATTACGTTTTTCAATACTGAGCTTATAAATCAGTTAATTTCCAATATATTTATTTTTATACCAATCCACTCTTATGTTGTTTTTTGTAGTTGTTATAACCAGGGCGTTTTTATACACATGAGTAACTTTATAAAAATTCATAATCCTATTTAAGTCAATGAGGATTACTTTCGTAGACAGATATTGCCCAAAATTGGCAGCTTCTCAAATTACTTACAAAAGTATGTGAAGGCAGGACTTTCCCCAAATGTAATATCTTAAGAATGGTRTGCTTTAATTGRTATAGAAGGTTTGTCTCCTTATATMTAAGAGTATGTTTTACATTTTCTAAATTACCTTCTCACATTCCTAACTGCGCATGATGAATGTTCTGTCTTATTTAGAATAGCACATTCTCAAAAGTTTTTAATTAAAACATCATGTTTAGGTGCATCATATATGTATGATGTGAAATGTATGCATATCTCTGATAATTATGTCATTAGGTGTAGCTTTATTTATAGAATTGTGAGTATTCTGTAATAATGATACTTTTTTTAGCAGGTCAGGTTGTTTCCCCACAGGCTACCCCAGCCTGTATTGAAAACAAAAACGATGTGAGCAGAGAAAACAGCACTGTTGACTTTAGCAAGGTAAGTGTTCACTAACGGTGAAAAGAGCTTCCTGACTATYAGACAGATATTTAAAATTAAATACAGTGAATCCATGCAAGTCAGGAAAAGCTGTAAACTGTAGATTTTACTTTAGCATTGAGGTTTGTGTGCACTGCAGCACGATTTGTGTATGACAAAACGGAATCTTCATCTTTTTGTGCTAAATTTTATGTAACAGGAAATCACAATTTAGGAACACAGATAAATTTAATATCATAGTTGTGTATTTGTAGGGGAAAATTTATGAATTAACATAAAATTATCAAAGTGGGAAAATAATTCAGAATTCCTATATTTTGCATTTACCTCAGATTTTTCCTTTTCGTAGAAGTGATGCATGAATGCAAACGATGCTTTTTATAACCTGAGCTCGTGGATTCCAGATGTCTCAAACAGAATGTGTTTCTGTAAACCTAAAACTTAATTCTTGTGGCAAGCCAAGATATTTCAGTACACTTTACAAAAGATGTTAACTGTTCAGTAGTGGAGATTGAACTGTCATTGCAATGTCAGATAGATAGCAATGAAAAGCAAACAGCTTCTCAGCTTTAATGTGAAGGAGAATCCTAATTTGYTTGTCTGTATGTACCTGAGACAGTCAAATGGATACAGGCCTGACAAGGATGGATGATTTCAGCTGATGTATTAATGCAACAAAGGTTGAGTAAATGAAGAGAGGTGATTTAAACCAAAATTCTGAAGAACAGCACTTTGAGTCTGTTGAATTTTAATGTTCGTGCAGCTGAGCTAAAAGTAGAGTTATGTGATTGCTCCATCTGGTGCCAGACTTATTTCCTAGCAGCAGTAGCTATTTGCACTATTTGAATTTTTGACTGAACATTCCAGACTATGAATCGTACATGACTGAAATAAGATGGGAAGCAGATCTTTCGGTCAATGATAGCGAGAAAATAGGAGACTGGCTGGGGGTGTATTATGGACCACATTTCTAGAGAGGCTGCAAGAATATCTAACTGGTTTTGGCAAGTGTTCTGATAGCCAGATGAAAAATTTGTAAAGGATATAAAATAGAAATGTTTGTCTMTTCAAAATTAAGGTATGCAGAAATGAAGGGAATGATGTAAGTTTCAGTAGTGCTTTTCTTGAACATTTCTTCRGTTGTTTTGAGCGTTGTAGGATCCAAATCCCTGTTGTCCCACTTGTCTAACTGCAATTCTGTTTGTTTTAAGCAAGAGTGGGAGTTGCATCATTTGATCCTTAACTCATTATTTTTGTGGTGCTGCAGGTTTGCTGACTGAAAGMGCTATTCCCATTTAAAGTAGCTGGAAGAAATCAACATTTCATTGTTTGCTAACCTCAGCAAAGGATGTCAGGAATATGAAAGGAGGAATTCCTTTTCTTAGGAAGAATGAAATAACAGTAAAGGATTGTAATCTAATACCTTTCTTTTTGACTGACTTTAAATAGATCCATTTWTCCTTTTAAAGATGCATAAGTACAGTTTCCCCTTGAAATGTGCTATTGCAATAACTCCCAACGGTTATAATTGGAATTATACGCACAGATTGAGAGGAAAGTAGAGCAATACACTAATTTTCTCTTGAGTATTGTGGTTTCTTGCTCTAATTTTGTTCCAGATATTAATTTCGTTTCTCTTCTACAAAAAAAAAAGCACCTTTGACTACCTCACATATTCTCTCCTTGCTAATCTGTCTCCCTTGGGCTACTTCTAATATTCCAAATTTGGAGTTGATTCAAAAAGCTGACTTAATCTGGATGCAGCTTTGAGGCTGTGTTGGTTGTATTGGTATCTATCTGCAAAAAATGTGAGAGAGGCACTGAAACCTGTTTGGAGTGTTACTTCAGTAGCAAGGAGAGGGAAATGTGATTTGGCTGTTTGTAAATGTGTCACTCCTCTTCCTCTGCCGCCACCACCAGGGCTTTGTGTCCTCAGGATGATGTGGAGGTGATTTGGCACAGCCACGTTACCTCTGTCTGAGTAGAATGGGGTGACAGTTTAAGAACTGCTTCTGACTCATTCCTGCTTTTTATGCCAAAGACTGAAGGGAACCTTAATTGTCCTGAAACACAAAAGCCATAAAGAGACTGTACCCCCATTCCTTCTCATGGCAACATTCCTGTGCTCCACATGGAAATACTATTTCTGAATCACACCCTTGTCCCATACTGGCCAGAGTCTGGTCTTTCAAATACCACGTGAAGCAACTGACTTCTTTGAATGCTGGTTGACCCTGCTTATAAATAAATTTGATGAATAAGTTTTACTAAGAAGGGATGTTGGGTATTTTGTTTGTCTTCATGTCAATTTATGTTTGGTTTCAGGGCAGATGTCCCCCACTCTTTTCAGTCCTTGAGTTGCCCTGGAGGGACATGACCTCTGCATTAGTTATTTAGTTCTATATTGAATTGGAGCTTGCCAGGACTATTTAGTGTCAGGTCGTGGATGTGACTCAGGTTAGGGTGCAGATTATGATGCACATCAAGGTTCTCCAGCTAAAGACGTTCTGGGGTAGGAGATGCAACATGGATAGGTTGGATGAAGCATTCAAAATATGTAGCTTCTGCCATTGCCATAAATTCACCCAGGACCACCTCCACTCTCATGTAGTGAAAGGAGCACCTGTGTTTGGGTGTGTTTGGTCAGTTTGCTCCTCTGGCAGCTACTTCCCTTATCAGGGGCCTCTCTTCACTACCTAAACAATATTCAACAATATTAGAATCTCAAGCTGATAAATAGCGCAGGAAATACCTGAAAATACTTTCTGGTAGACAGGAGACAAAATGTTTATTTCAGATTTGAATCTTGTGGTCTGTGTGTTAGAGGACCTCAATGTCACAACTGTAGCGTGTTGTACATGTACATGTACATGTACATGGCTTTAATTATTGAATGTTAAATGCCTTTAAATGTTAAATCCACCCATTCACAAGGTAAACTCAGCACAGAATGTATACATTTCTACATGACTGAAAGACTTCTTTCTTCCTCTCAATTACAAATAACCTATGACACCAAAATGAGGTGCAGACTGAACCTTAGGTTTATTTAATCCTTGAACCTTAGTAATATATTTAATCCTGAAGAGTTATTTCGTGATTTGAGTGAAGAACAGAATTTACCTCACTTTTCTATTTCCCTTGAAAAGGTAGTTGGTCTCCAACCTTCCAGGTTGATTTGGTGCTTATTTAACTTTGTGAGGTCTTAAGTCATCTTTGTAGCTTAGGGAAGCATTAGATTTCTCTTTGTGATCTCAGCAAACCAAGATTTCATTACACAGGCAACTGTGTTATATCTGAATTCTGATCTAGTGCCAGAGCCATTTGCAAGAAAACAATTTTCTAAATATTACCAAAAACTATGCAAACTAGTACTGACAGATGGCTGTAAGATAGACATTAAAATGGTCCACTTTAACAGTTTATATTGGATTTGGTTGCTGTTGTTGTGTTTAGATTAATAAAAGGAAAGCAAATGACAAAATTCACGCATTTTGAAATGCAGACAATACTGGTGCATAATGAAATCTAACATACATTATATACTTTATTATTCCATGTCAGGCTTTGTTACAGATTAAAGTCTGGAGTCATACATTCCTACGCAAATACCTTGAGCTTATTATAGCAATGTCAGGATGAAGCTGTGTCTCTGTGTTTTTCTATCATCCTGCAAAAGTCAACATCGCTGCCTAAAACAAAGCTGCTCTTCTGCTTTGTTCCTTCGGTTTGCTCTTGAGACAGCCAGTGGTCATGACAGCTTATTTTCTTCTGTTTTCAGCAGAAGGGCAATTCTATTCCATTAAACCTGAAAACAAAAATGCACCTCAGAGAAGAAAACCAAAATTGTGTGCAGTCGAATCTATTGTTCTTCTCAAAGAGACAGTAACACAACAGCTATGAGCTATGAATTAATGATTTCCAGAACTGATAATTATGGAAAAATGTGGTGTCCTAATTTCCTCCTGTTATGAAGTATCGATACTGTTATGATTATAGATAAAAAGCACAATGGGAAATTAATCCTGTATTCTTAACAATATTTTGAATTTTATTTATTATCTTTATAAATTAATGCTGCGGTGGTTTTTTTCCCAAGAAAAATCAATCAAATAATTTATGTCCAACTGTTTCATTAAGAGAAATACTTTTATTAAAAAAATGTATTACTCAACAGAGAAGTGGAAACTGCATTGTTGATATATTTAAGGTAATATATAGTGCAGTGTCAGAAAGTCTCTGTCAACAAATTAGGGGGGAAAAAATCCCTGTGAGTAGCTTTTAGGTTGTAATTTAATATACTTTTCCCAGGTTGACCTACACTTCATGAAGAAGATACCACCTGGAGCTGAAGCATCGAACATCTTAGTTGGTGAACTGGAGTTCCTGGACCGCGCCGTTGTGGCTTTTGTGAGGTTGTCTCCTGCAGTGCTGCTCACAGGACTGGCTGAAGTTCCAATTCCAACCAGGTACACTTGGGATGATTTTGGGATGATTCATGTTTTCCTCCTTGAGGAGACAGGGTGATGTAACCCTCAGTTTTGTCACTTACTGAGTTAGGAATTTGGTTTTCTTTAACAAAGGCAGCTCTCAGCTGCAGCCTTCCCCTCACCCTGTGCATTCTGCGTGGGTACATTCAGACTCGTGCTGGTTTGTACTTCACACATGTAGGAATGTGGGTTTAAACCCTATAACACAGTTTATCCTATATAAACTGGTATTACTCCAGATGAAATACTAAAGTGAAATATTCAGCTTAATAGAATATTTCATCTGGAACTGAAACTACTTGTGTGATACTGCATAATTATGTACAGAACTAAAAGAAAATGTAGAAGGAATTGACAAAAGGCAAAAAGCAAGATGTGATTTGGTTAACTAGGGATAGTGAGTGAATGGATGGAGAACATGATGTAAATATGTTCTTCAAAAAGTTTGTACTTCAAAAATTTACTTTGGCAGGGAATGAAAATTTTAACCATAAAATTTTTATTGGATTAATTTTTTCTAAGTGGAGACTTTTTCTGATGAAGCGTTTTGATTCTGAAAAAAAATGATGAGTAATTTAAAAAAGTGTCTAAAATAGACTTTGTATTCAAACAGAAAGCATTGGGGTTGATCTGTAGTTACATTGTGTCCTGCTGGGGTCAATTCAGATCAAAACTCCAAAKTGATTCTCCCACATCTGARTTCACTGACTTAACCATTATTTCARTATTTATTTAYTTATTTATTTATTGTATTTGTGTACGTATTCTGTCTCTTTCCCCTTCCGTCTTTTAGTTTCTATAAAAGTGGAATTCCAAGAGAAGGCAGTAGTGTATTCCAGTTGTTTGTGACGCTCAGGACACTCAGATATGACACTCACATTATGCTATGAAATGCAATGCTGTGACTCAGATCCTTACTTCTAATCAGATAAACAGTAACATTTTCTATGAGTTGTACTTTGTAGTTACTTTGGATATGAATTTTTAAGTTTTTTCTAATTTTTGTTTGTGTATAAGGAACGTTGAGGGACTGAATTAACTTTGGAAAAAACCTCTGAAGCCTTTCTCTGTAACCTCCCCCAAACTCCCACAAGAAAAAAAAAAAACAAAAAAAACCCCCACCAATTAGGACAATTAAGACTTTCTGCAATCATGTATGTATAAAAACAATTTAGTAATATACATCAAAATATTGTCTTTTGCATTTCAGCAAAACTGAGAATTTCAGTTATTTAATCTGAACCAATCCYCTGTGTTTTAAAGAACTTTACTTGCCTACAGCCTTGAGTATAGGCTTTMCAGGGCCTTAATGGGGGTAAAAACTATTTAAAAAAATTTATTTGGGTTAATTTAACTTCTCCAATTTTGTAATAATTTATGTAACTATGACCATTCTGTTCAATTAACAGAATTAAATAAATTAATATGTTCTGTACATAGATTATAATTGCATACATTTATTATGTAAGTTAAGGTTTGTTATGTAAGGAGGTTTTGGTACTCTCAATCAAGACTGACTGTTAAGTTTATGATATATTTTTGGAAGTTATTTTCACATTTTTTTTCTAAGCAGAGCTTCATGTTTAAATGCATGTGTGAKGATCTTGAAGGAGATTATATATAGTGTTCATCTGAGAGATTCTTCTAGTCCACATTTCAGATAAATATTTCTGTAATATTTATAGTTTATTTCCACCACCTATCCCTTACAATTTTTTAAATTTACCTTTTGCTTGCAGATTTTTGTTTATTCTTCTTGGACCACTGGGTAAAGGCCAACAATACCATGAGATTGGAAGATCAATTGCAACACTAATGACAGATGAGGTATTTTTATTCATGGTTTGGTTTTATTCATGGCTCAGTTTTGTACTAACTGAAGAGGTGTAATAGGGAATCTCCAATCCTCCAGATGAAATGTGGCTAATTATTCTGGTGCTGACAAAGAGCATTCTAGTTCATTTCATGATCCTGTGACAGSCCGGATTAAGCTGCTGAAAGGAGATAACAAAATGAGAAACAATATTCACAAGCGAAGATACCTTCACCAATAAAATTCCATTTTCCACAGTTGCTTTCCAGTGGATTTAGTTGTGGCTGAGCTGTAAAGTCTCTCGAATATTTAGCTGCCATAGGGATGTTTTTCTGTAGCAACTGGAACTTCTGTGAGATCTGTGTACTATCAACTGTACTATCTTCAGTTGAAGCTGAGGTCGTTTGTTTAGTGAGAACCTTACAAAGTTCATTCTRTTTCAGAGAAAGGGGCCATTGTGGAAAATTTTAGAGAGAGTTCCTTTTTCCAAGGAGAGTTTCTATTTTTCCTCCCTTATATACTTGTCAATTTTTTGCAGGTATTCCATGATGTTGCTTACAAAGCAAAAGACCGCAATGACTTGGTGTCTGGAATTGATGAATTTCTTGATCAGGTTACTGTTCTCCCTCCTGGAGAGTGGGACCCAACAATTCGAATAGAACCACCTAAAAATGTTCCCTCTCAGGTTTGTGCATTCTGTAAAATTCAGGCACTTTTAAAATTTGTGATGGGTTTTTGGTGTGTAGATTAAGGTCTCGTTAATTTAGCAGAGTCATTGTATTGTGCATGCTCTTTTTATTTTAGGATAATTTTCTTTAAGAGAACCCTTGGCTTGCAAGCGTACAGTATAGTGATGACATTTGGTTTAGTTAGTACTAATTGTCTCCTAGATAAATATAGAGAATTATATCTAAAGAGATTAAATTCAGTTAAGTGGTCATAAGTGTCCTTGATGATTCCAAATAGCCAATGGAGTGCTTTTGTTCTAGTCTTATTGCAAAAATTGTTCAAAGGATGCTACTCTAAAATATTTTCTGATTCAAGATGTTTTGTGATAAATCTTAAAATAAAATCTTTATGTTTAAGCTTTCCACTTTCAGAGAGTGTGTTTGTTTTGGGTTTTGTTTTTCTACTGAGAATATGTTTTGGCACTAAGACCCCTGAGAAGTATCTTTTCTTTCTGGTAGGAGAAGCGTAAGATCCCGGGAGTGCCAAATGGAACTGCAGCCCATGGGGAAGCAGAACACCCTGGGGGACACTCTGGACCAGAACTGCAGCGCACTGGAAAGTTAGTGAAATCAAATGCAAAATCTAAAATGTTCAAAGTGATGTTCAAAAGGAATCACAATGGTCTGGTTCTCTCTCACAAGGGTCCTGGCACCTGATTTCTTTGAGGCATTTGTCCTGATTTGCAGATATCACACAGCTGAAGAGGACAATACATGCTGGTTTGCAGAGAGCAGGAGAGGGAAAGAGGGTTTGRGTTTTCTCATTGTATTTATTGCAAGCTCCTTTCTCTATTATTTGCAAAGGCCAGACATCTCTTAAACTTAATGTTTCTCGTGATACATCCAGGTACACGAGACTCTGGTTACCCTGGTGGCTGCAATAGACATCAGAATGAAGAATTTGTCCCGATGAATACTTATTTTCTGTTATCTTATATAATATTGTGTGGTGTAAGTGTATCAGCTGTCAGTGGCTGCCTTAGTGCAGTGTAGGTGGGCAATAGATGTTTCTTTTGCCTTGCTGCCTCTCGATATTTAAACATTGCTGCTRCCTGCATGAAGCTGAAGATTCAGCTGCAGTGTTTGGTGCACWCTGGGGCAGAGGAGATGATTGCCAGTCTGGCTGGAAGCTGTTCTCTCACCAGTGAAACCAGCTAATTGACAGMTTGAAGGATTGTTTTAATATTTAGGAGGTATTGGCATTGCACGTTCTTCTTTACCTCAGCAGCAACTGATACATTGTGTGCCTGTGAGAAAAAGAGCATTGTGGGGTTATTTACTTTTTCTGTATGGTATCTTGTAAGGGAGCGTCTGTTCCTAAATATTTGATTATACTTGACATMGTGTAAATGACAAAAGATGACAGTTCTTGTCCTTGAAAAATGGTAGCATATACTCATTTCTATCATCAAGTTTATTTAGGAACAGGTTCTCAAATAAAGAATGTGAAGCTCTATATATAAATGTGTGGGCAAATAGGCACTATGATAGCTCTCAGATTAAACAAATGTAAAGAATTATTTCATATAATAAAACATTTGGTTTAGAGCACTGGAGCAAGCAACTGTACAGAACTTTTGGGTCTGGATGATTAGATAAAAAATTTGTAAAAGAGGCATGGAAATTAGTTTGTTTTAAACCCACAGTAATTTCCTGGTTGAAGTTACAAAGAGAGGCTTCCTATAAACTTACTTTTCTATGAAGGTTTAAAAAGAAGTGAATGTATCATTTAATCAAGGAACAGTAGCTTCTCTGCAGTGAGGTTGAAGCAATACTAKAGAAGAAAGTTTGGTGTGCCATCCTAATTAATTTGAGCTCTTCTGTGTTTTCTTTAGATTTTTTGGAGGATTAATTTTAGATATCAAAAGAAAAGCTCCCTTCTTCTGGAGTGACTTCAGGGATGCTCTCAGTCTGCAGTGTCTGGCATCATTTTTGTTTCTCTACTGTGCTTGCATGTCTCCTGTCATCACCTTTGGTGGTCTGCTGGGAGAAGCAACTGAAGGTCGTATAGTATGTGTTAAATCTGAACTTTTAAAACAAACTTACATTCCTAGTTTTGTGGTTAGTATTTCCTTACTGTTGCATGAATCACCCTTATATATTGGTRTTTCAATGTTTAGAAGAGTTCAGAGTAAGACATTGCAAAAAGAACCTGGTTTGAAAATTTATGGACACTTCTCTCTGTCATTTTCAGAGTGCAATAGAATCCCTGTTTGGAGCATCCATGACTGGAATTGCCTACTCTCTTTTTGGTGGACAGCCTCTCACTATACTTGGCAGCACAGGACCAGTTTTAGTGTTTGAGAAGATCTTATTCAAATTTTGCAAGTAAGTGAAGACCATWTTTATCATCCTTCATGTGTTGTTAGGTAAAAGTAGAGACACCAATTCCAAAATTGAAATCCTAAGCAGTGCACTACAAAATAAATAGTTGCCTTTATTGTTTTGCAGAGTCCAAMAAGTATGCAGTGAATTGGTAATGTAGGAAGGTTAATTTACTTAAATTAGGGGCTCTTTTTTGTTTTAAACTGTCCTTTCCCCCTTTCCCCACGTGTTAGCTGCAGGATACTTATGTGAGGTTATTTTTTTTTTAAATTTTATCATTCTCTACTCTGAGACAATGSATTTAAAGCAGTGCTTTCTCTCATCTCTGATTYRAAAGGTCTTGCCTCTCACCAAGCAAGTGTGTTCAGAGGAGGTGGTGCCCTCTTTCCGTGGTCACTAATGTAGACCATGCCATTCTCTCCCCTGACAGAGAGGGGGTGAAGTGTCATGCCAGAATAAAGTGCTGTACTTGACATATCTGTGCTACAGTGGGGTTAAAAATTGTGTCCATCTTGGCAGCCATCATGCTGCTCTGCTATCTTATCTGCTTTTCTGCCTCATTGCTGTGACAGAGACTTCTGTACCAGGATCTCCTGACCAACACAGAGCAGGAAATCCCACTTAGCACCCAAATGAATTTCCAGCACCTTCAGGCAGACCTTTCATTATCCCTGAGATAATGTCACCCCATATGTTTGGAGCTCTATTATATGCAGTAAGCTTATAGCATTTCAGTKGAAGTTGTTATAGCTACTCTTTCACAGCTTAAAAAGAAATTTACAGGTGTTGGCTGTTCACAAAGCAGGATATGGGATAAGGAGTGAGTGGACATTATACACTTCATGTGTGTGACAACTCTAAGCTGCTCATGTGATCATTTCAGTAGAGATAGAGCTCTTTGTGTCCTGTTAACTGGGAGAAGAGCTCTGGTCAGGAGGTGACTTGGTCATATCTTCTCTTCACAGGAATTATATAATTTGTGATTCAGATTGTCCCCAGAAAGGAATTTTTGGAACTGCCTTGTTTCCATTCACTATGGTTGGACAAAAGGTTGACTATGTTTAATTTTTTCTTATTTTTAGAGAGTATGGGTTGTCGTACCTTTCTCTGAGAGCCAGCATTGGGCTGTGGACTGCAATCCTGTGCATCATCCTCGTTGCAACCGATGCAAGCTCCCTAGTCTGCTACATTACTAGATTTACTGAAGAAGCTTTTGCTTCTCTTATCTGCATCATTTTCATTTATGAGGCCTTAGAGAAGCTGTTCCATCTTAGTGAGACATATCCAATCAACATGCATAATAATCTGGAACTGCTGACCAAGTACTCGTAAGTAAGATTTCTTCTGTTAAACTGTTAAGGTWTTTTTTTCTCCAAAGATTGTTTTCTCTGCAAGGAGCACAGCAGGAAAAGTTTGCAATAGTTGCAAAATTAACATGTGGAAGCTATTTAGTCACTGTGCTGCCTTATGGAAGTAGTTACTGGGGGGATATGTACAAGCAGGACACATTTATTTGAGTTAAAAATGTMTTGACTTGAAGTTTGGAAAATCTTCAACATATTCAACTTAGCCTAGAATTAAAAGTAGGACTTAGAGGGATCTCATTTTTGGGTCCCTATTGATTTTTATTTAATGAGACTTAACTCATGGTCTCTTCCTGTAACCTCATACTTATGATTTATAATCTTTCACTGTCAACAGAATGTTCAGGTAATGTTTGTTTTGGTTTGTTTTGTTTTTGGTTTTTTTTTTTTTCAAATTGAAATATTCACCTATCTAAAGGTGAACTCTGATATAAAGTACCTACTTGATACCTTTCTGGCACTTAGGATACAAGCTCCAAAAGCTGAAGTGGATTTGGAATTGTTAGATCAATCTCAGTAACTCATWATCAATTTGTTCTAAATAACAAAATTTTTAATCTAACTGCATATAAACAGCTTTACTTTATTGTGAAGTTTGGATAAGTACTAATCTRCTTAGGGAATAAAAAAGTGAATTGCTTTTATCAATATTGTTTTGTTTAGAAGTAAAACCCCACAGACCTGTTYCTGTGATATGAGAACAAAAATGTTCTAGTAAGGGACAAGATCCTAGTCTGTCCTCAGGCCGCTGAAGCCTGGTCACATCATTAACTAAAAATGTCATTTAAAAGCATTTTCAATGAAAATCTCTCTCCAGAAACGTCTTTATTATTTCACTGAACCCATTTGAACCCTCAGCAWGAGCAGGGCGGGGCCCTAAAGGAACAGTACTTGAACAGTGCCACATCTTCTGTTCACTGGAAAAACAGGAGTGTCTCAACCAAATGTCTCATTTGCATTTTAAGCTGGGAAAAACAGAACACAGCAACAGAGAAAACATTTGAGCTTTGTGTATATTATCACTGGAAAAATAGTTAGCAAATCCTGAATCTGAATATACATTATATACCTTAAGACACGGAACAAGTTAAATTAGAGGAACTATGGTTCTGCTGTGACATACTCTCATCATGCTGAAAATAATACTTCTGCTCTCGAATAGTTTAATCAGTGGACAAAGGAATATTAATTTGAAGAGAAAGCAATAGACACCAAGACTAGATCTTGCATGCAGTTGAGGTTATATTTTCTTATTTAGCTTTACTCACCYTCTGTGAAGTAGGTATTTTACTCCAAAGACCTTCATATAACACAGTCTTTGTGGATTTTTTTCCTTTGCCACTTCAAAGTAGTCTCAAAGGGAAAGAGAACATGATGTCCTCCTCGTTTTGAAAATCAGATGTTGAAATACTATACAAAGACAAAAAATTATTCAGAAACCATTTAGGCAGTGGAGATGAGATATTAAAATATGTGATGGAAAGCATAAACACAACTAGAAACATGGATTCCTGGGTACTTGTATTTGTGGTTAGCTGAATCCCGTAATATTGCTTGAGATTTCAGAGAAATGAGTTTAACAGTCCTGCTTGTAGGGGTACAGTCATAGTGACATCTATATTTTGTGAAGATGTTTTCTCATTATAATCCTTGTGTTTACAAATAGATGTTGTTGGTTTTAGTTAGAATGCCATTCAATAATCAGAATCCCAAACTGRTTTTTGAAGGGTGGTGTTTACGTAATTGCTCTTGGTAACTGAGCAATGAATGTAAAACATGCAGAGCACACAAAAAGGYAAAARAAMCCCAAAACCAACAAACCTATYGACCTGTACTGTCCCACAKTGCTGGAATACCAGCACAACAGTTTTAGATTTTTCAAACACAATTCCTGAAGGACAAGTGTCTTCCAGAAGCAGGGGAGAAAGATTTGACCACTACTTGGTGTTTTCAAACACATACRTCAGAATTATTTGATACTGCTGATATCAAACTTATTTGATATTGTATTTTTGCAGTTATTTATGAGTTTATTATTTCATAACTGTATTTTCAGTTATCCTTTCACTCTGTGTAGATAGTACAAATAGATTGCCTTTTAAACTCTTGTATTACATCTCACATTTGGYATTTACACTGCATCTTCTGCTTGCAGCAATACACTTTTTATTATCAATCATGTCCATAGCAACTGACCCCACTAACAGCAAAATGACTAGCTGTAGACATATAGCTCTTATGGAATGTGACTTTACCTTTTTTTAACTTTAAAACKGAGTGCTGGAAATGGCGGTATATTGGCAATCAATGCATATTGATTGTCTTGTTAGAGTCTATCCTTGTTAGACTCCAAGGATCTGTGCTCTGAACACAACAAAAGGGTTAATCCAGCCTCTTCTGTTCTCTCCATTCCTTTCTCCTTAATTTGATCCATTTTTTCTTAGTTGTTCGGAACCAGTCCTGAAAGATGTGCTCAGTTGGAACCATTGTACACCAGCTGCCCAGATGAGCTGCCCAGTGCTTTCACAGCAGACTCGATGCAGCCTGAGCTCCGTGGGCTTGCTGTGCAAATGTGCACAGATTAGTCTTACTCTGGCCACATACAGTGGCCTTTTGCCCAGAAGAGGAGATGTCACAATTACCATCCCCATGGGACCATCACAAGGCATTTCAAGTACCCTCAGTCCCTGCTCAAATGTCTGTGCACRACTCAGTTCCAGCAGGATAAAAAACTAAAAGATGGATAAGCATAGAAGTTTCCTTAAAATAACAGTCTCTCTTTTGTGTACTTGAAGTTGGGGAATATTGATTTCAGAAGGAATTAGAAGCTTTTTCTGCAGCATCTGATTCCAGTCCTTCTATTTGTGGTTTAAATGGGTAACAAACTTGGGCTGAAACTGGTCCTGTCCTTAAAGGACCAGCATACTCTGTTACAGAAGCTAATTAGTATCTGCTGTTTTGCTAATTAAAACAGCTGTTTGCATTTTCCTCTTTGGGGATTTTAAAGACAAGTTTTTAATTGTTAGTAAAGCCTTGGCAGGTCTTTAATTAGCCATGGGTGATCTTCAAAAGGTTGAGCAACTCATTTCTCTTTGAATGCTCAACCAAAGCTTATGTAAAACYTTATCTTGGATCTGCAATTCTGTTCTAGAAGACTGAGTTATATGGTAAAATTCCTGACTTTTCTGTTGCCCACTCAAAAAGTTGATAATGAATTGGTCAGAACACTGTATGTATTTGAAATTTTCAGTATATGATGTGGCCCAGCCCTCCTCTCTTTTCCCATGGGCTTTCTGAGGATGCTCTGATGTCCACAGTTGTCTGTCTAAATGCCAATACTTTTCCTTTGCCCTGGTGAAGACATGAGTTTGACCCAGGAAAGGTCATTGGCATGCTGTTAGTGCTCTCTTTGGGCTGCTAGAAAGACAAAGGGAATAGTAATTCTAMTGTTTGGTATTTCAGCCAGATTGAAACTGTATTTCACGTGAGAGAGAAAACCCATTCTGTGTTTTTGGTGGGTTTGTATTCTGTTACTGACAGCCTCTGTTGCAGGAGTTTGATGTAAAACACTGAATTGCATGCATATCTTTTATTTGAGAGTACAGGAGTCCTTACTTATACCTGCCATAAGAAACCGTAGAAGACTACAGAAAGAACATTCAAAATAGGATTTTTTTTTTCAAATCAAGCACACTGAAATATTTGAAAATTGGCTGAAAGTCCTCCTAAACGATTTCTTTAAAACTGCATTTAGCTTTTAACCATTTTAAGTAGAAAATAGGTATTTGAGTTTGTTGCAGAATTTTACCTCAAAAAGACAAAAATATCTTGTTTCACAATCTAATTAATGTAAAAGTAGACATAATTCAGTTTTTGTTCATTTTTTAAATTCAGTTTTTTATCCTCTGTTTAAATATTGCTCCAGATATTGCCCCTAATCTGTACATGATCTACTTGCARGAAAATCCATTCAGCATTTATATGTAACTTTTTCTAAAACATCGTGTTTTTGATATGGATGATGAAGAATAAGGCATTTAAAAGCTAAATCAAAGGACAAAGACAACCTGATTTTCAGTGTGGTACTGTGCTGCATTTTTTTATTTCTAAACTGAATTATCTTGAAGGAATTCACATATTAGCTACATTGTTTACTAAATTAAATAGACATACTTTTTGATCAGAGCTTTTCTTTCTCTTTTTTTATGTGACCTTTTTGTATTTGTCATGCCATTAGCATTTGTAGGTTGGCATAGCAACTCTCTTATTTCTGCACTCTCCTCCTCCTGTTTTTTTCCTATCCCTGTAGCAAATATATCTCCAGTTACTGAATCCTGTCTGGAACACTGATGCCCATCATTTTAATGTGCATATTAAATATTAGAATGTTATTTTTGCTAGGAGAGGAGAACCCCATATTGGAGCAGATAAAAACCACTGTTTTTAAAAGGAAATCAGAATAAGCATTATGGGTGAAAGGAATGTGATTTAGAAAGCAATCCAGTGTTCTTCAAAATGCAAGCATTTTAAGATACTTATCTTAGAATGCAGAACTTCAGTTATTCCCCCGGGTGAGGTTGCTTAGATCTTCATAYACCTTTTTGGTATAGAAAGGAATTTTATATATCTTTTTTGTTTTTATTAATTCTTTTTTCAAAGTGATGAATTCATGTTGTTTTAATAATTCTTTACCAGAAGTTACTCAATTATTAACAGATTACATTGAATAATTTTAAAGTGATTTCTTGGCATAGTAATATGCATATTGCAATCTGTCTTGGTATTGACATGCACTTAAGCATTAGGAGTAGAAAATCCCACTCTGATGTAATTAGGGAGCCAAGATCATGTCAATCTCTATCATTTCAGGCTATAGAAACCATTTCTTCTAGAAGGGATTGTGAAGATTAGTTTTGTGCATACCACTGTTTGCACAAGCAAGTTTTAAATCTTCCATTATCTRT